CCTGGGGGCCTGAAAGATACCAGGTAGGATGAGCTGCACGTGAGCATGACCCAGTGTGGTCATTTTTATTTTCTTAAATAAAATTGCTCCAAAAGTTTAAATAGTTATAGAATTAATTTTAAGAAAACCACTCTAATGGTGTTAAATGTACTTAAAACCACCAACTGAAAGGTCAAGAAAGTGGTGATGTCCATGGCTGGCAAGGTGTGGGAAAACAGGAACGCTTGCGTATTTGAGGGGAGTATAAATTGGTAAAGCCTTTTTAGAGGGCACTATAAAAGGACTTATCAAAATGTAACGTGTGCTTACTACTCTACCCAGACTTTCCACTCCTTGGAATGGTGCCAACAGAAATGTTCCCACAAAAAGATGTCTTTACAGCACTGTCCCCAATGGGAAAAACTGGTAACAACCTAAATATTCATCAGTAGAAGAAAGGCTAAATACATTGTTGTGTATCTGTCATAACAGGCAGAAATCTCTAGATCATATAGTTGAATGAAAAAGATTATTTGCTCAACACCTGGCATAGTGTGATCCCACTTATATGAAAAAAAATACATAAGTATCTATGTACCTTTAGGCATTGTAAAGCTAACAAAAAAATTCTGGAGGATACATCAAAATGTTGAGAGGGGGCATTTCTGCAAAGGGAGTGGCATAGTAGAACGGGGGATGTGAGTGAAATGGTCTTTTCCTAACTTCATATATTACACAATTATAAACAAAAATTTTGTGTGTGTATGTGTGTGATACGTGGACAATTAAGAAAATTAAAAAAAAAAAACCCAAAAGTAATGCACGTGTGTAACTTTGTGACCTTAACCAATTCCTTCCCATAATATTTCATGGAAGATCAAAACATTTTCTAGACTTGGATTTGCCACTAATTTACAGTGTTGAATAGATTAGGTACAAGCACTGCCATCTCTATCTTGGGAATATCACTAGATGTAATGTGGTTTTGGTTTGTTGCTTCTGTAACAAGAAATTGAATTCACCTCATCTGGTTCTACCAGACACTAAAATGAGTAGGTAACTGCTCTTATGCAAGTGAATCAAATGACCTCTGTCCTCATGTGGCCTTCCCCTAGTTCCTCAAACTTTTAGTCATTAATAAGCGTATTCCTCTTATGGCACAAGCTTCCTTTGAATCACACAACCAACGGAAGTGGTGGTCTTGTATTTTCTCAATGTGCGCAGTATGGAGTGAAGAACCAGATCTTCTGCCTAATGCCTTCTGCTATGCACTTGCTCTTCATTTCTGGGTTTGTTAATCTTCCTTTGTCCACTGTGCAATTCTTTTTAGGAAGGAGCCAACACAAGCCTGATTCATTACCTATTCCTAAATTACTGCCACCGGCTACAATAGCTTGGTGATTTAAATCCTTTATATTAGTTTTCCTGGTGTACAATCATAGTCTAAATGCCATCTATTTAAATATTTAAAAGAATTCCCCAAACATAGTAAAAGCTATATCTCTTCATAGTTCAATTTCCTTAAAATAGATGTGACTTTTATAAATGTAGATTGAAATATATTTGACCCACAAGAAGGCCACATATGGCTATTTAAATTAAATTTAAATTAATTTAAATAAAATTTAATTTAAAATTTAGTTTCATTCTCACTAGCTACATTCCAAGTGTTCAATAATCAAATTTAGCTAGTGTCTATGGAACTGGATGGCGCAGATATAGAACATTTGCATCAATGCAGAAAGTTCTACTGAACCACCTTTATCGAGACATTTCAACTATAATAGTACCTGGACTCTTAGGAGAATTTAGAACAACAACAGCAAGAAAAAAACGATGTCTTAGAAAAGAAGAAAATGTATTAGTTAATGAAGGAAAGCAACAAACAAATTCACTGCATCTGAAAATAAGTAAACAAATTTTCCCAAGTAAATAAATGTTCTATGAATCCTTACATTTCTATTTAACAATACAACTGTTCCTGAGCATTATATGCACTGGCTAGATTATAACATTTTTGGATTCTGGAATAATCTACAGATTTTCAGAATTATTTTTTCAAAGAACATTTATGAAGCTGTCAATCTGTTCCTTTTCATTTAGGTGTAATCAAGTTTGAAAAGCTTGGACAGACAGGAACGAGGGAATGTTTCCCAGTATTTGAAAGCCCGGAAATGGCTGGCCAATCCCACATTCTCCAACGGTGAGAAGCAGGCCAGCGCTCCACTTGCCAGGTATCTATTCATCTTTCTGCCCACTTGGCCAGCATTTCCCCATGAAATCTGTCTGCAATCTTCCCCTCCCCCTGCCCCACTGCCATTTCCTGCACTCACTTCCTAATGGTGCACATCCCGCTACATTCTAATGACTTGCATGCCTGTCCTTGTGAGGCCATGAGTTCCTTGGGGGCGGGAAAGTGACCAGCTCGTGTTCGTATTCCCAGAACCTCGTACTGTGTCTGACGTAGACAGTTTCCCATAAAGATTATTAAACTGAGTTGACCAAATAGGACTCTAAGTTGTAAACCTCATTTCACTCTAACTCTGACTCTAAGACTTTCAGTCAGGAGTATTTAAGGTATAATCAACGTAATCATGGCTTTTGTTACTGTCCACACTTAGTATGCAGACATTTGAATTAATCTGAAGTGTCAGCAGGAGCTATCGCTACTGTGATCCAGGCAACTACTGGCGGCCTATGTGGATTGTGCTTCTTTTATTGTAAGAGTTTCTAAAATCCTTGAGAAAAAATTAAGATTTTCTCTGGGCCAAAACAGACTAATTAGTGAAATAGCCAAGTGAAATAAACAATGTTCAATCTGAATTCTTTAATATTTTTCAAAATATACAAATAGATCACTGAATGATGAAATTCGGATTTGATGAACCAAAAGACAACAAGAAGTACTGTCAGTATTTAAAACCCAGATCAAAAAATTACTCTCCAAAATGTCTCCAAAAAAACGGCAGCTGTTTTTGTTTCTAAGATATCTGACTTTATAAAATGAGCAAATGCTCAAATTTCAAGAGAAGATCAAATTTGTCATTTATCATTGAAGGACCATTAGAGTTCATATGTCCGTGTTCTTGAAACCAGAATTCTAACAATCTTGATTAAAATACTGACATTAGCAATCAAAATTCAAGATATAATAACTCCACACTAAATGCAAGTTGTGAAATTTTAACAAAAAGTTATTTCCTAACCATGGAATGTATGATCTTTTTAAGTATTATAATGACATGAAGAAAGTCAACTGGAATTTTTTTCCCTCCAGGTTGGATTGGGATCCCAGTGGTTCTTTTATTTTGCATTTCCCCTTTAATATCAATGGAATACCACATTTTATAACATTCATACTGTAAAGCAAACACTATCTTTGAATTTGTTGAGGGATTCAATTTGTAGAACAATTTTATGATTCTTCTTTATTTGGAGTGATGCACTAGAGATTGTATTTGAATAGAGATTTAGAATTGCCAAATGCTTACATATGCATTATCACATTTAATGCGAATTGTTCATATACATGATTAGCCCAATTATTCAGGTAACATCTTCTCAGTTTACATATTATTCGTGACATTTCCCTCCCTGCTTTTTTTCTTTCTTGCCTGAAATTTGATCATTTTCTTTCCTATTAGTCTTATACTACTGATAGGGAGGAAAGAAAAAAAAATAGGGAGAAGTCAGGCTGATCACATTTTAAACATGTGTAGAGTTCTTTTAGGAAAAAAAAAGACTGAAGAATGAAACTGCTAGTTAAATTAAGACTCTAGCAAATAGAGGCATTAATTTATCTCAGAGTTATTTCAATGTTTCTGACATTCAAATCTATGACTTCTAATTAATAACGTAATTATTTCATAATCATTAATTCCTTTATTTCGACCTGCACAGCGGGGATCCTTATGTCCATTTTTACAGGTCAGAGACGAAGCTGACCTGCCCGAGCAGAGGCCAGGATGAGAAACCAAGTCATTGATCCCAAGCTTAGCACCCCTTACCTGAAGTCTGTGGTTTTCAAGCTCTGGTGTGCATCGGAGCCTAGGAGGGGCCCCACCCCCAAAATCTCTGATTCCGTAGGTCTGGGGTGGAGAGTCAGATGTGCACTTTTTTAAAAGTGAGGCAGCTGCTGCTGCTGCCAGTGGTTCACAGACAACACTTTGAGAATTGCTGCTTTAAATCGTGGCGCCTTCCTTCAGCTCTTTAACATCCCAGTAAGCTGTAAACCCCCTCAGAGCAGGGGGATCCTTTCGATACTGCAAGGCCCCTCTCCAGCCACTCTCACCTGCCACCAACCGGTCACCATCGCAGTGCCTGGGGCACCTCACACGAGCCACATAAGTGCTGCATGAATAGCGTCTGTTTTCTCATGATATTAGAGAAAAGACAGATGGGTCAAGGGAAACACAGAAGTAATCTTTCAGTGGGGCCTCTTTTAGCTAAAATGTTTGATACCTTTTCTTCTCTAAGCCCCCGAATTTATTTAATGAAACAAAGAGACACAGGCTGGCAAGAAAAACTGTCCCCAAGTCCCTGCCCTTCTAAAGAGCACTTCACGCCCTCAGGAATCTGAGCAACCATCGCGAAGACAGACATCTAGTTAGCTGTCCATCCTCTCCCCAGACGCACAACGCAAGAGTGCCATTTGCACCGTCCATGTTGCCCAGCTTCGTAAAGAGGAATTGATTTGCTCTCATTCCTTAAAAATAAAAGACACTTCTTATGTTGCTCACCCTAAATAATTTCTTCAACTCCTCCTCCTTCCTTTTGGTTGCAAAATATGTCACTTTGGGCATTATCCTGGATTTTTTTTTTCCCAAACTACTTGGATATAAAAATGTTATGCCTTTTTAGAAAAGCAGCCAAATTATGAGCCTTGCAGACAGTTAATTAACCGGTGAACTGAGATAATTCGAACCCCAGCATTCTATGTTAGAGCCAACTGGTGAAAACACAATCGCTGAAAGAAATGGATTATACTGACAGTTTGTTAATGTTTAAGGTCATGGTCTTACCTATGCACACTAGATCCATAAAACCATACATTCCATAGCAGATTTGAAAAAGGATGTCCTTCCTCTGCCACACTGCATAGGGGCTGAAGGCTGACCAGAGGAGCCAAGTCACACTCGCTATCAAGAACAGGGATCCTAGGATTACAGCAATCATCTGAACTTTCTCAACCAGTGTTATAGAAATGCTTTGCCACTAAAAGAAAAACAGAGGCATGTAAGAAAGAGGTGCTGTGTATAATTAAAAAAGAAAAAAGAAACATTTGAGCCCCATGTTTCTCTTCATAATGTTAGACCCTTTGCAATCTGGCCCCCAAATGAATTTTTCAATTCCATCCAGGCTATAAAACATAGACAGCAGATAAAGATTAATGAATTGCCTTAACTTCATTATTTTCAGTAATTCACCATTTCGCAAGTTTAATCTAGTTTTACTACAGATAATAGTACGGAGAGTGAATGGCTGAGGAATATTTAGTACCTGGAAATCACATTATTATCTTTCACGCATGCATGAAATTAAATACACTCTGACCATACATGGTGAGCACTCCTCTATCTGGCAATTTATTTTGCTCTTAACACATTTGGATAATGCAAAAAGAGGGAATTGTCTCTTGTTTTTGTAGAAAAAATATAAAAACAAATAAGTTATATAAGAACATCAGTAAAAAAACTCATTTAAGATAACACACTAGGATAATCATAAGGGAACTATGAAATTGTACATTATCTGTTATTGGTACATTTCATATACTCAGATATTACTGACTTTTTATTATCTAATGGGTAATCCACGAAGAATTTTTGTCAAGATTTAGAATTTGTAAGTAAATGGAGTATCTTTGAAACTCACAAACTGTTTTAGCACAGACTCTTCAATGGGGAAAATAATTTGGTGTTCTAAGTATCAATATTTGAAAGGATTTACAGCACAA